GTTGCATTCCGATCTAAAAACCAGATCTAATTACATTTACGCTAAATTTGTCTGATAAAATAAGGTGCTAACTTCACAGGAGTGAAACTCCGAGCATACTTACACCAGGTGATTGATAAAACTGATTCTCGATCATTAAACCGGTTTTATTTCAAACGCATTACCCCAGTGACTTCGCGAGACCCAGTTTTGAGAAGCTCACGCCAAGTTCGCGTCATCCGTTTCCGCCGGCTGATCAGATATATACGTAGAAGCGAGGAAAACAGTTCGCAAGCAGGTTGCATTGCACGATGTACATACATGTACATGTTATGCACACGATCTACGTACAGACCACGATCAAGCGATGAGAGATTGTCGTCGTTTGGAAATTGCAGAGGCAATGTGCGCGCCTTAAACTGGGCCAAGTGTATGATAATAAATAATTCGCGCGCCGATCCGGTTTGATGTACGTACAGCACACGCTCCCGTACGTTCGCAAAATATGTGTGTTTTCGCGCTCATTAGAGAGCGTTTCTAAAACTGTAAAATATATGCCGTTAACTATCAATTTTTTTTTAACCGAAATCTATTAAGTCTTGTAACAATTTATTTTTTTATTTCTTTATATTTTTATCTCAGAGAATTTAGTCATATATATCTTTGTATGTTTCTTTCTGTTAAAACTTGCTGCTGACATTATTATTCTGAGAAATTAAACAAAAAAATTAATGTTAAATTGTTTATAGAAATGTCAAAGTTGTTTATAAAAACGTGATATATATATGTTTATTGACATATATATGCATGATGTACATATATGATGGTCAATGTACACGTGTGCGTGCAATTACATGCTCATGATTGCGTACGTTTTCAGCTGTCTCCCTATTTAACCGAGTCTCGAAAGAGAAGAAAGAGACTCGGTTTCAATAAGAAAAAAAAAAAAGAAAAAAGTTATCGGTAAGACTTCTGTACAAGACTTATTTTTACGTCCACCTATTTGCACTCGCTTATACACGCTTGCGCCATGGTCGGGCACGTGCTACGGGTAAAACGTGGTCTGTGTGTTATGCCGAACCATAAGAACGTCGAATCTTATTATTTCTTTTTAAGAAAATATGAAGATCAAACAACTCCAAAAAAGTAAAATTCACAGTTGATAATTATAACAAATTAAAGATCACTAGAAGCTAATAACATGATTGATGATGTTGAAATTGTTTTTTTATTAATACACAAAAATTATGTAAACGTATAGATTCGACTTTTGGGTTTAGAGTTTGCTTCAGCATAAAAAATAGTGCTGAAGCAATCGATGTTAAGTTTTATTATTGTTTTCAGTAATTATTACGTGTATTTTAACTTTGAAAACATTTTACTTGATCTATCTATTATATTTAATTATATAACTTAACATATATTCATTTTCAGGAAATTTTATACAGAAAGTACAAATAAAATAGATAAAATAGACGCAATCAATACGAATAAGTTATGCTTCTCTCTGATTAGTATATATACGCGCGTTGGTCCCCCTCTTTCACCTCATAACGTACATTATAAGCACCCGGAGGGCATCACGTTTAGCCACGAAAACTGCAGTAACGTCATTAAGAAAGGCATATCGTGCGCGCGCGCATAATAGCGGTACGCGACGCATCACAAATTTAAAATTACGCTGACGATGACTTACTTCAGCATGTCCGTGATAAGCATCATTTGCACTGAGGCAAAAACTCAACCCGTTTTGGTAACTTAAACCGACCGATAAACTGCGATAAACCATAAATTAACGATCTACGAGAGACAAAAATACAGTAAATTACCATTTTATTTCTGAAGAGAATATATCTTCTCTCCCATACACACACGCACACACACACACACACACACACACACACACACAGGTATATTTACGTTTATTAGAGAATTTTAACTCTAAAAATGCAGCTCTTTGTAAAAGCATGCTATTCTTAAAACAAAAACCAAAGTAAAAATGAATAAAACAAACTGAGAGAGAAAGAGAAAAAAAGAGAGAAATGAACACTGACACTCAATGACTTGGACTTTTTCAAACTAACGTAAAATAACGTTGAACAGCTGGCGCAAGGTGTCTCCTTTCGTTTTTAAAATCTATTCGTTAAGAGGATTCTCTCTATTTTAGACGGCTGGTTTTGAGGTCGTTTTTAAGAATCTTTTTTCTATAAAATACAAATAGGTTTTATACATATATGTAATACATCTTTTATGTAAAACAATTAACTTTTATTGAAGTTTTTGTTAAATGTGTACGTGTTAAAAAAATTATGGGTTTAATGTTTCCCACAGTTTGCGCCCATCATGCCGATCTGAAACTAATAATATTCAAAATTTATGTTAATTTTTAATCTATACAAATTTTCCTATCATCTCATAATAAAAAATATAAACATTGTTTAAAAACATAGCGACTAGGGGTAAAGAACAACATAAAATACTATCTTTATATTTTCTATACTTTTTCAACTATACATATATTACACACACACATACACACATGTAAATAATTTTTATTAAAAATTTATTCAGAATCAGAACATTTTTGTTAAAATGGTTCGAGTCTTTGCTAATAATACATGTGTGTGTGTGTGTGTGTGTATATATATACATATTCTAATTTAGCAGAGACTTACCCACACAAAATCAAATTTTAAGAAACGTACATTTCGCTAAAGTAGTATCTTTTTTGTTTATTGAAAGATGAAAAGAAACAAAACAAAACAAAATTGTTTATCAACCTTTGCGAGGTCAAGCACAAATAAATTCTGGAATCGATTAATAATTTTTAGAGAAGTCCCACCTTTTCCAAAAATTCTCAGGAATTACTTTGCCCACTTATGTCATTCTTCTTTCTTCATCAATTATATTTTATACGTATTTTCTTCTAATACGTTTTCGTTATGCGCAATAATAAAATGTCTAAAAAATGTCGAAGTTTATTAATTTGTATTTAAAACAAAAAGAGAAATTTTTTCCATGAGATATTGCTTCCTTTATACATATTAAATAAGTATCCAGAATAAAAATTTGCTCTTGTTTAAGTAAGACGAAAAACAATATATTTGTAGTAACACTTTGTTTTACTCAGATTTACAACGCGTACTAATTGATAACGGAAATGCTTAGATAATTGTTGTTTACGGGAAATATATCGTTAAGATTTTTGGTACAATGTTCCTTATATATATATGAGTTTTGACACAAGTTAAAAGTAATGAGTACTATAATAATAATAACAACAATATGTTTTCCTCGCATATAGATTTAATTTTTTCAAATAAAGATCTTAAACACAAATTAGATAGTGAACACTTAGGTAAACTTTGCTAATGAAAAAATATTTACAATTTGTAGCATCATAACGTCTAATTTGAACAGAACAGCAATCTATGATGCCTCTTCTATATATTTGTCACGTTTTGTAACTGTTATATATGAGAAAAATTTTTTAAATTATTTAAAATATAGTCTAACAATAATCATTAATTAAGAAATGCACTGGACAAGAAAATTATGGACAAAATCATAATAATTCTTTGCAACCGACCTTTTTAGAAAGAAGTGGTACATTATTATATCGTCTAATTATGTTCTTAGACTAGACACTCATTTTGCTGTTTTTAACAATCTCATAGAGATAACAACAATTTGTATGTCTTTTTTCTGGATAGATCCAGAAAATGTTTGCATCATCACAGCTTGACTCTCGTTGAAACAACTCAAACACGTTATATATTCATATACATGTAATATATTTCATTGATTTTATTTTATTAGTAAACTATTAATATCTCACGCATTTCCAGCCAATTCTTTTGATTTTTGTTTCTAATTATAAGAAAATGTTATACTATGAGATTGTTGATTAATGATCCCTATCACCATTTTGTACGATAAGGCTACTCCTCTGTAGATTTAAATATATATAACAGATGTCAGTTATATAAATGGTGTCTTGTTGCAAAACGCGAAAAAAAAATTTCGCAAAAATGTAGAGTGTTTAAATCAATTGTATAATATCAAATACTTTATACACATATTGCTTTTTTTAAGGACATACATCATAATATCTATCATAAACTGCCGACAACACAATAAATGCATCATAATGCATCTCTTTCAATAATTTAATATTTTTAATGAAAAAAGAAACCCGTATTTTTATTAACTAGTGTAATTCAAAATATTATTATTTTATTAGCTCCTACTGAAATTCAGTCTTATAAACAAAACAATGATATTTTCAAAAAGCAATTTACTATTACAGAGAGAGAAAAAAACTTATGTCTTATATTATTTTGTATTATACTCATGAAGTTTTTTTTATTTTTTCTATTAAATAATTATATCAATAACTGAATCAAAAGATTACAATTAAAACCTGAAATATTCATGGTGATCGTTCATAAAAATAACTTTGGAAGCTGTTAATTTTTTTTCTTTTTTTTTTTTTTAAACAATTACGTCACTAGGCGAAGAAATTTTATCTTTCTTTTTATGTAAGAAAACGCTATCTCTGAAGCATTGAGTGCAACTGATATATAGCATGTTTAAAGCTCCTATGTAAACATTCATTATAGCCATATTTGAATTATAATATCAGAAACGAGAAATAATATGAATTCTATTGCAGAGTAAAAGATATAAAATAAAAAATAAATGTCATAAATATGAGATGGTAATATCCTATTAGCTAGAATAATAATAGTATCTTTTTCATGAGATAATAAATTTTGAGAGGAAAAATATCTGAAGAGAGATAAATGTATGTGTATCAATCTAGAAAATTATAAATTCAAATCATGCAATTTATATTAATTTATATTAATTAATTTTTTCTCAAGACGCCAAGTTTAATATTGTATACGTCAAAATTTTTTTTTTTTTTTTTTTTTATTTATTTATTTTGAAATAGTATAAATGCATTTTCAGTAAAAATAAGTATTATAGCAATTGATTATAAAAAAAATACCAAAACGCTTTTTATCTGTCTGTAGATATTTATTTTAATATAAATTGCATTTTGACACAAAAAATTTGTATAATCTCTCACTTCTGATGTCATAATTCAATGTGGCTGGAACAAGTACTCAGGAGTTTTAAGGCTCCATACATTTAAATCTAAAATAGTTGGAGTATGTGTATATCACATAATTAAATACAAATACCACACTGACGAATTTTATAAATATAAGCAACATAATGATGATAATGTATATAAAATATATAAATTGACAAAACACATGAAATGAAAACTAACGGCAGTATGTCGACAAAATATCCGCAATTTCATCGATCTGTGTGGTTGTTTGAGCGAAAGGACATTTCAAAGAATTAAAAGATACGATAGTCGCGCCAAGTTTACAATTTTTCCGCGCAACGGAAAAAAATCGCACGCGCACAGCATGGGAAACTCTATGGCTCTATATACGCGAGTTCGAGAATTGAGAATTTAGGATTTTCATATTTCGGCAATGACTAAACCGATCGAGTTCTTTGTTTTAGTTTTAATCGACTCGAGAGAAAGAATAAGAAAATAAATTAAACATCAAAAGTCGACGCGGAATGCTTTCATAGAACTTTAGAAAGGCGCGCTAAGTCTTTATATATACACAAAAATGTATATATTACTTATATAATGCTCATTGATCGACGGTAGCGTTTTCTAGTATTCGTTATAACAGGAACCGATACTGGAGCGGGAGGAGTTACAGGCGTAACCGGAGTTATTGGTGTAAAAGAAGTTAGAGGAGTTTCAGCCATTTGGGCTGAAGAGGGGGGCCTGAGCTACCAAATGTAATTTTCTGTTTGTGGAGCTCGCATCACTCCCACGCCTCCACCAAGTCTCCTGTAATTCATACAACCACATAGTTTCCATTGGTTTTGTTCTGGATCGTATACTTCAATTGTTTTCAAATACGCAGTCCCGTCGAATCCGCCTACAGCATACAATTGACCGTTTACTACTGCTAGACCCACCTAAAAACACAAATTTACAATAAACAAAACAAGAGAGAATTTGCATTATTTATCAATAATATATAAAAAGAAACTCAAATAAGCGACAAAATATAAACTTACTCCGCTTCTTCTAGATGTCATTGCTACTATGGGACTCCATGAATTCGTATGAGGATTATAACGTTCCGCGCTGGAGAGCTCCATACAATCATCTCGTCCTCCCACAGCATAAATTAGATTATTAAATACAGCACAGCCTAGATGTTTACGTCTCGTAGACATCGGAGATACTTGGGACCACTTGTTCTGTCTTGGATCGTATCTTTCTACTGTGTTGAGGGGTGATTGTCCATCAGACCCGCCGATGGCATATAAATAACCTCCGAGTACAGCAACCGCTACTCCCAATCTTCTAGTAGTCATTGGCGACACTTTAGACCATTTGTTTTCTTTAGGATCATATCTACAAAGTAATATACATATTATTAATGACAAACATGTTTCAATTATGTATCTTATTTATAAAACTGTTTCTTGCGCAAAAAAAGTTTTCATTAAAATATAAATAAAGAGATACCTTTCCACATGATTAAGGCATTGCACTCCATCCTGACCACCAACAGCATATAGAAATCCATCTAACACTGCAACACCTACACTAGTTCTGCAAGATGTAGTAGGGGCAACGTCGCAGGACCATTGATTTGTTTGTGGATCATACCGCTCGATGCTATTTAAGTAGCTTTGTCCGTCGTGTCCTCCGACCGCGTACAACAAATCATTTAATACCGCTACGCCTACTCCGCATCTTCGTTTGCTCATCGGTGCCACCATTTTCCAGTCAACAGTATTAGGATCAAACCTCTCAACACTAGCAATGGCATCACCTGAACACCATCCACCAACAGCAAACAACACTTCACCTCTTCTCGTAGGTTTTCTAGGTCTTGTTCTAGGTCCTTGCATCAATGGTCTTTCTTGTGGCAAAAGTAGATAATTTTTCGCCTCGTCCACTAAATCTCGGCAAGCATCATCAGAACGAACCAAAAGATCAGAACCAACGGTGCCAACTAAAAACTTTGGACTAAGTAGTGGTAATCTCACGTGCTGCAGAACTTGAGCCAGATGCTGTCGTCTTTCCGTAACGTTGTATTTGACCCAATTCATCACGGCGCTAAAAACTTGCTCCTCCGTACGTACATTCAATTCGTCCGATGAAATAATGTCCACTAGTTGTCCAACAGGTAGTAACAGAAATTCCTCGCTTTCCATTACCTGTTTACAATACATCAAGCGATAGATATATTTATAAATTAGACTTTAGCTAACATTTTCTTTCTCAAACGAACGTACTTCTTGAAAATTATGTTGAGTAAACTTATCGGCAATACGCAGAAGTTCCCGACACGAATGCGTATCTGCAAAAGCACGAATACCCAAACAATTTGATGGATCTAATTGGCGTTTGAGAAATTCACAACATATATCTTGAATTTCTGCTAATTGAAGAAGGCACGCTGCTGGAAGGAGAGTTTGAACATTTGCTTCTTCGACGATAATATGAGAAGTGTAACAGAAGTCTATAAGTAATTCCATAGCCATTTCGTCTATGTCACGTATCGTCACTTCAGTTTGTCTAGATTCCGCCAACTCCCCAGTAAACATTGCCCTAAAGAAAAAAGAATTTATATCTTGATTAAGTAAATTATATTCAATTTAATGTATAATACCGACAATATATCAAATACCTGAAGTATGGACTACATGCTGAAAGAATGACACGATGTGCAAATATCTTTCTAGAGCCAACATTGAGGACAACATCACATAGTTCCCGATGACGGCGAAGAACATTGAGCTCAGTTAGGGTCGCACGAGGATGTTTCTCAGAAGTATGACTAAGGCGTGCTGGAGATGGAGCGCGTTCCACAACTATTTCACCCATCCTCTGAGAGGATGGAGCTCCTGCAGCCGTTCTCCCCGAGGCACCCCTAGTCCCCCCGGCTAGCTGGAGGCGCAGGGGGGGTGACGCCCAGCCCCACACGGAATCTATCTGCAACACCATTCACCAACCACCACAGGTCTCAAATGTGCCTGCAGCAGATCCTCTAATGCTGTGGTTTTCCTATAGCGACAACATCATGTATATGCGTAATATGTTAAAATGTACATATATATAATTGATAAGTAACTAACATACATAAATTAATAAGAAAAATAAATATAAAAGTAAGTAAAAAAAAATTTTAAACAATACGCAACTCGTAACAATTTAGACAATTTCAGAGATAAAAGCATCTAAGTAGGAAATTCTTGACGTGTGTACACACTTTCGTTCGCTTCTTCCGAACAGTCAGATAGATAACAAGAAAGTTATCACTGAATTCGACTGGCTCCAATAAGTTGTTATCGCGTCAGCGTGGATGCCTGTCACGGAACATCGGACGTTTGTTGATGTTGACGTCGTTGACGTTCCGATGCGTGAGTTGCGCCGCAAATTATCACGAGGGTGCTCTCATCTTCATGTTTTCCCGTGATAAAACACGGCAAACCGTGTACTCCAATCCATTCAATCTTTATCAACTTTATGAACTTGCATGAACTTAAGCTCCAGAATCTTTTTCGCATAGAATAGAGCTTATACACATAAAGTGCACTGTTGGCCACGGCGTGTTGAGGCAAAAACAGTGAAGCCGGGGACACATGAAAAAACATAAGCATTAAAGCGAATTGACCAATCACAGGCAAGTAATGTAATGATATCTGCAAACAGAACGCGCGATAAGAAACAACATGGTAGCTAATCAAAATTTGCTCTTATGGAAAAACAGTATATTGATTGGCTATTACGAGTTCTGTCTGAAGAAGCCATAAAGAACATCAGAAATGTTCTCTCCAAAGCTTGCCTTTGATTGATCACTTTGCTTATGGCTAGTCTACAATGAGAGTAGGGCAATATAAAGTAAGAAGTAAGGTTCTTGGAATTCTTTTATTTTTGTTTATACAAGTAATTATTTCGCGTTTTTTAACACACGTCTTTCATTGGCTAACAGTAAGGCAGTAGGCAGTGCGAAATGGGAATTGCCCATTTCGTAATTCCCGTTTTTTTTGTTTCCTCACCAAAAAATAATTTACTCTCTACTCCTACAGCCTTACTACCTTCATTGTAGACTAGCCATTACTGTTTAAGCTTTTAATGATCAAAAAGTTTGTACCTTTGACTATATAATATATGGACTGCTAGTAGCTAACTTCAGACGTGTCGCCAAGCTGCAAACGTATAAGCTCCGCCCCAATCAGTAATTTTTTACGAGAGTGGGGAGGCTTCTATGAAAATAGCGTCAATAGTGAAATCAGTGTGAAATTCCCGTTTGCTTTTTGTGCATTTACTGCGTAGTTAGTGTTTGCTGTTAATGTGTTTTAGCTGAGTTTGATTTTTTTCCTTATCGAAAATGTATTGTTTTGTTTATAGATGCAAATCGTCAACGTACAAACGCAAACATGACGAGAAGAAGCCAGTTTTGCCATTTTACAGGTGAGTTAGTTTATCTCTAACTTGCAAATTTTTTTTTACTTGTAAATGGATATTTAGTATAATCCAATAATTATGTACTTAATTTAAAGACAACAAAGAACAACAAATAATATAAAAACACGGCAACTTTCGACCAATTTATTTGAATTTCCCGGCATTTACCGACTAGGGCTGTGTTCCAAAATTCACTGCCAGCGCTAAAGATCTATAGTTTACGTCACGTATATTGTACAATTTTAGCACTGGCAGCGCGCTGACAGCAATTCTGGAACACAGCTTAGGGAGGAGCCATTAATCGCACTTCTCAGCCAATAGAACCGCACGCTGTGGACATAGCGCGGAATAGAACCATGTCCACATTTGAACATAGCGCACGCACCCGATAAGTCGCTCGTGGATATGGTTACGTAGTTGCCAATGTGCACCACCCATGGACATTGTGCTGGCTTACAAAGCGAAAAAGCGATTACACATTTTCTTTTATTAGGTTTGGCCGCTCTCAGTCTTCTTTCTGAGGTTATATACACGTAATGTCAACTGTAGATAAATGTGCTTTGTGAGAAGCAGATTTGATTCTGTTCCGTACAGTGTCGCGCGCATCGATTCGATATATTTCGAGGATCGCAATATCGAGATACATTCGATACATTCGTTTTGGCGCGATCAGTCACGGCGCGAACGCACGACGCGTAGCAGAATATTTGTATCGTTTATATTTCTCGCGATTATTATTATCTCGCGCGCGAATATAAGTTGCGCGTGCGTGTCGAAAAGCATCAAATGTTTGCAGTGGCATATATTTTGGCATCGCACACTCGCTGGTAATGCTAAGTCGCGAATATTACGTGAAATCGTATCGTGGCTGTCGCGCTTCCGTGAGAAACAAAATGGCCCACGTGCGACGCGGAGCAAACTTATTCGAATTGTTTTATATTTCTCGTGTGATCATTCTATCGTCTCTCGAATATTGCGTTGTATGTGAAGTGTTGTGAAGTATCTGACGTTTGCAGTGACGCAGTAAGTAATATTCTGCATATTTATTAGTTGATAGTTAAATGGCGAGAAGACGCGAAAACTTTGTGTTTCGAAAGGGATTAAACACAAATTCAGTTGTATTACAGATGAGCAGAGATGAAATTACATTAATAAATTTTGTAGAATGTCTCTTATAACGAAATATATAGAAATTTATTTTGAATAAATAATAAGAACGTATAATAAACTTATTAAATCTCATCAAGATAAAAGTATTAATAATAAATTTTGATAAAGATTTTTCAATTGTATTGAAATTGTGACAAAATTATAACGAAAATAGGTTACTTGATATAAAGTGTAGTAAGTCTTTCAACAATATTTCAAATAAGTTCTTTATAATTTTAGTAAACTATTTCCATCAAAGTTATCTAAACTATCTTATCGTATACTGTAAATCTTATTGTATGCTGCATGTACACAAAAAAAAAATACACATATATACTAGAGAGAGAATAAGAAGAGAGAGAATTCAAGACATCGACGCAGAGTTGTACGTAGGAAAACATGTACCCAGTAACACGATATACGCGAGAAATACACTGAAAAACGCTAACCATCCTACAAGCACGGTAACGTATTTCCACGACGCTCTTTTGTTGTTTGACTGCATGAGATCGGTGTTGTCATCCGCATCGACTTCTATCTTGGCCGTCGCAGCCGGATCTAGAATACTAACTGAAAGGATCTGTCCGGCTCTGCTGCGCAAGATTGACGTTGTAATAGTTGAAATCCACATAGGTGGTTCACTGTCGAGTTCTTGCAGATGTCGCAAGATGCTCGTTAAAACGAGAGTAAATGTTGCTATTGCAAGAGAACTCTCGTAAAAAATAACTACAAAATATAAAAACATAAAATTATGATTCTCTTGTATACTAGAAGATAAACTAAAATCTTTGTTCAGAATTACGTAAGGTGTAACACAATAGAGTTTTTTAAAGTGTAAATTAACAAAATTTTAATTCAAATTAAATTTATTTCAAAAAATTTTAAATAATTTATATTCAGTTTCGGTCGAATTATTTCTCTCATTAAGAAATAGATTATTTTCTAATAGGCTAATAAAGAGAAGGCCTAAAATAATAAAACTGATTTATAATTATTTATACTTACTCAATTTAGGAGTGTTAAATCCGCTTTTCGGTAGTTCCCAATATATGTCTTGTATGCACAATAAGTGACAAATAAAGTTGAGATTAACAATAATCATGCGCTCATAGGATTTCGATTCTAGCCACAGCGCTGTTAGAGTCATCACCATTAACACTATAAATATATTAGGGTGTAACACACGAACTTTCAGAATTAATACGAATTAGAAAATATATTGGATATATATAAGGTACGTGTCTGTGTGTGTAAAAACATTCGATTAAGTGTTTCAAAAGCATCAAAAGATATTTTATGTAATGATAGAGATTCTTCGGAACACATTCTAAGCAAAAAATTCTAATTCTACCAGAAAAAGGCGAAACTGTAACATAGATCTTGAGTTACGAGCAATTAAAGTTGTACGTGATCGACTTTATCTCGCCTTTTCCATATTAGACGTTTTCATCTCGAAATATTCCAAAAACTCTACATAAAAAATATTCGCCAACAGTTGTAAAATATCCTCTGTGTAATCTCGAATACCAAGATAACTTGAATGTAAAGACATAATATATATATATATATATATANCCTGATTTACTCAATAATTACTCCTTTATTATAAATAATAGAAAAAAATGGTTCAGGACTTTTCGACTCAGTTTTATTCCTTCTATCTGCCTACGAGAGATTGTACGGCTATTCTGGGACACCCTGTATATATATATATATATATGTAAAAGTTTAGCATTTGATACGTACTTATAACAGGTAACATATACGTGACGCGTATTACATCCGCGTGTCTTCTTACAATAAAGTGATAAGAGAGCATTTTTGCGGTAGAACCCGAATTGTATTTGTATTTGTTCTCCCATGTTGATACAGAAACTTTCAGTAAATCCCATTCAGGGTGTTTTGCTTCTATATTTGTATCTAAAGTCTGTGAATAATAATTTCTGTATTCATTAATGTACGATTACATAAGGGATAGATAAAGACAGATTGCAAAAAAAATTTTAATAATAATAGTTATTTTATTTTAAGTAAACGTATTTGTAGGGCGAAAACACACAGACAAACCGTACTTTATTCTCATAAGGAATGAGTTCAATCTCGTCACTGGAATGTGACCACGAGCCTAATTGTATGGTGCAGTTCATAAGGCTGTACGGATACCATGTATTATCTGGGACGCAAAATGTGGAAAATTTTACTGGATTTAACCACTGAATCATCCCGTTATACCAAACCCAGTAATTCGCTTGATTGTAACTTATTTCCGATCTTTGTTCGCTCCATCTAAATAATATTATTAAAGATGACGTGAATATTTCCAAATGCTTTACAAACATATATGTGTTAGAAAGTTTTCTGATCTAGAATTTGTTGAAATGTGACTTTTATTGCTCACTCGTTATGCAGCATAACATCCGGTACCCAAATTTCGTACCATTTTACGGGTATCCATTGGATATTATCGTATTGCTCTGTATTCCATGTCAAATGCGAATCATACCACCACTATTTCAGTACAGTGTAATATTATCAATGTAAACACATAAAAAAATAAAATAGTTAAGTTTTATTTAGAACTTTGTAAATTACGAATAAGTAGAGTCGAGATTAGATTTCTTATTTGTTTGAATTTATATAAACAAATATATTATTTACATATTAATAATTAAAATATAAATTTACCATTCCTATCCACGCGTGTAATTCAAAGATTTCGTCCTCATTACTCTAGACAAAATGCAATTGAAATTAATTTAAACAAGTTCTGTTTATTTATTAACAATAATAGTATCACTTTCTTTTTTGATTGATTACTAACAGAAAAAAAACAATTATATCTATAATTTATTGATAATAAAATATTAATATAGACGTGACATACGTGATAATTTTACGAAAACTTTACTTACGTATTCGATGAAATGCGGCGTTAATCGAAAAGTTACACGTGTCACATTATTATTGCTCTTGACGGGTCTTACGTCAGAATCGTATTCGCAAAGAAGGTGTCTCTTCAGTTGCAGCACAGTTGACTTGCTCTCGATATTATTACAATTAGTTGTTGCATCACCGAATGCAATATCGAGAATAAATATTAAGACGAGAAAACTGTCGGGTTTACTCATTCTGAACGTATACAAAGAGAGTCGAACGATTCTCCAACGACTAAATCGCTTAGGCGATGAATTCTTCTGTGCAATTGTTACACGCAGACCGGACGATAATCACACACGCCCATTGAAATTTAAAACTGCAGACTCTAAGGACCGCCCCCCTTCAGTTTCTATCATGCTAGGTATTCCTAATACTTTTATTTATTTATTTAGGCTATGAAGAACAAAATGTGTTATTGACGAAACTTCAAAATTAAATTTTGTGAATTAAGTTTTTTGATTACTTTAAATTTATTTTAATTTTTTGACATTAATAGAAACATCTATAAATAATAATATTTATTTATATAGAAAACTTCTTACATCTTAAGTTCTATTCTAAGTTTTATTCTAGAAAACTTTATATTTTCTCAATTTAATGAATTACAAGAGCGAACACAATAGATTGGTGAAATATTTTTAAAAATATGCTGACGTTTATATAAATATATATATATATATATATATATATACATACATATATTCTAGAATTTTCTAACCCGTGGGTACGAGGATAATCAAAATGACGACGTAAGTGAGAATCACGCAAAAAAACGATGTCCATTCAACGATAACAGCGAAATGTCTCCAAGAAGCCGATTTTGCGAATTTTGAATTATCCGAGGTTTCTTCGGTCGCTAAATCTCCGTCCGGTATCTTGGATTCCTCATTGTTTAGAATTAGAAAACGACCTGCCTTATTGTTCAAGACAAACGTTGTCACGTACGAGATCCAACTTGGTACTTTTGCGCTCATGTTTTGTAGTTTTCGCAACAAGGCCGTCAGAATTAAAGCAAAAGTAGCCAATGCCAAAGATTCGCGATAAAACAACACTGCGGGATAAACATAAGAAACGTAATTGAAAAATTATTGGCTACTTTATTGTATTAGGAACAATAGAAAATCTTCCGATGTCTGTTTTAATAATATGTCATATAATTTATAATTAATAATAATGTGTGACACTTACTTATGTTGGGCGTATTGACGCTATTGTACGGTAACTGCCAGTGCAAATTCATGATGCAGAGCATATGGCAAATAAAATTCGAACTCGCAACGGCTATTCGTTCGACCGATCTCGAATCAAGCCAAAGCACAGTTAAAGTAAGCACTACTAAAGCTGAAAAAGAAAAAATTTAACTCGGATTTATTTTGAAATCCCGCATTTGCAAACAAAAATTGTCCTCACCGATTGTCGGTGTGACAAGGGTGCTACGAGTTATTCCGTAATGCCGAGTTAGCAAGAAGTTGTAATTGACTTGCGGAAAAGTATTATTCGGACAGCATTTAAATGTTATTACACGTCTCATCGCGCTTACAAACTTCAAGTCCCACGCTGTATTATTTTCGTAGGTGTTCATCGAAATCTGAGAAGCATCAATGTAACGAATTTTCTTTTCCATTGTTTTTAAAAATAACATTACATATTGCATATTATACAACTTTAAAGATTTTATATCAAAATACGGTACATTAATTAAAAAAAGAAATATTTGAAGAGAATAGAAAAAGAAAATGAGAGAGAGAAAGAGATGAAAGATGCACTTTTTGTCAAGTAATTCACGTACTCCATCTCCGTCTAAATGGAAATCGATTTCCTCTCCTGTATGCGACCACGAGCCGAGTACAATACGACACTTCTGCTGATCGTAAGGCCAATAAGTGTAATCGACATCGCATTTAGATACAAATTTTATAGCTGGCACGCAATTAACAACGCCCGTATTGTAAAGCAAACAATCTGTCATAGGTAATTCGAACAGATCGTTCGACATATCACCGCTAAAAGAATCGACAAAGTCAATAACATTCATCGCTTTTACAACGTAATAAATTTAAATCTACGTAGTCGAGATGGAAATTGAAAGAAAACTTTACAGGATACGCGATACTTGAGAAATATTATTTATTATATCATATAATAAAGAAAATAGAAAGAAAGTGCTATTGTAAAAAAGCGAGTAAAGAATTTTTACGCACGTATAACGCAATATTAATAACTGATGAATTAATTACAACTTACGAGTTGTAAACATTCAAATCGGGTACCCAGATATGATAATTTTTCACATGAAGATACGTAACTCCATCGAAATCGCTCGGCGTCCATGTAAAGTGCGCGTCAGTCCACGACTATTGCGGTCAAGTGTCACATTAAAACATAACAAATAAAAATACACACATATAAATCAAAATAAAAAATAAGTAAAATATTCTAGGACTTACCAACGACACCCAGGTATGAAGCGTTATTATACCTCTCTCGTCCTGCAAACACACAAGGCAATAAATTGTACGCGTTTTTTTGCGCCGTATATATTTTATCTATATGTACGAAACAAATGAGACATGCGTAAAACTATCACTGGATGGTTTCTCTATTACATACAGACAAGTGGCCAAAATGAGGACAAGAATTGCGAAATAGAAATCGTATTTTTGCTGAAATCACTGCTCGATTCTATCGCTACATTCATTAGAAGCATTTATTTCGTTTCTTTTCGCGATCATATAATCGCGTACTTTCGAAATGACACGTAACTATAAAATATTATTAAAGCGCAATATTTATCACAAATTCACAAACAACCACTTACAAATTCCATTATTTTTGGTATCATTTTCAGAGTGACGTTGGTGACGTTTTTGTGATGATTCGGTCGAACGGCGGTATCGTAATCGCAAAAAAGATATTTTCCAAGACGCAAAAGCGGTGTTCCATTTGTCAAAGGTTTGCATCCTCTAAATACGGTGTCCTGCGTAGGATTTTCCAAATCCGAAGCGAACAACACATCAAGATTCGTTGAAAAAACAGCTGAAACAAAACTATTTGTTGACGAATAATGTTACGTCATCTTGAAAATAATTAATGTCATATCCGATTGATCTTTTTTTATCATATAATTTTAATGTACGACAACGTGTAATTTACACTGCGATTGATCTTTTAAGAATAAGAACGTGAGACAGTTTCGTACGCACTGTATTGATTCCGCCAAAGAATAATAAAAACTCCGAACACCTGTAATATTCTCATCTTCGAATCAATACGAGTCCACGGCTCAGACTCAACTAATTCCTTCCATCACATAAGCGAAACCACTTGTCATTTACGTGAAATTCGACACCAATTATATATAGTGGAAACGCCCCCAAGATATCGCTATCCAATTGAACACCTTACGATAATTGAACACCGGTGCGGCTTCGGTGTCCCGGCTTTGGCACTCACGGCACCGAACGTTTGAAACTCTGTACCACGACATATAATATTCCACCGGTTGACAACAATCTCACGAGATATTCTTTCCGCGCAACATTGAATATGTAACACTAGGATACATGACAATTAAAAATTGCAACAACTTGTTCTTGTTTCAACGTAATTAAAACTGTTGTTTTCTCTCTCTCTCTCTCTCATCATACAATTTATATTATCTTTTCAATTTATATAAAGATATTGAGATTATTAACCAATTAGAATAGATGAGAAATAATAGATATGTTTAAATTTTTTTTTTTTTCAACTTGTATATAACAAAAGTTACATTCTACCGCATTTTCTTGTTATCTATATATGCACATCCTTATATACATATATATATATAATTATGTACATTAAGACGTGCATAATTATGTATCAAGTAATTACGCAGGTCTTTTGCATATAAAAATATAATAAAAATTACCTGAAAAAAATAACAGGCTTATTCTTCATCAAGGATCTTGAGACGAACATTATTCCGCTGTAGTTCTATATATACACACACTTAAACTAATACAAATATATATAAAAACAATATAAAGGATTTAAAATCTATGCATTATGTGATTACATAAACAACACGTTAACCCTTTGCACTCCAAATTTTATTTCAATTTCGTTACCAGCAGCTCCCAACGCTTTTAAGTATTTTATTTGAAAGTATTTTTTTTTTATTTTTTAATAACAATAAACCGGTTCGGTAAGAGCGTCGGTAACGTGTGCACGACATCTATTTATTTGGACATGAAATAATGTCGAGTGGGACTCAACTATGGAGCTCCTGAGATAAAAACTAATGTCGAGTCACACTCGACATAGGAGTGCAAAGGGTTAAGTGTTATATGCTTTCAAACAAACACCGATCGACTTTTTACCTACCTACTTTGAAAAGTTTTCAAATCTATCAAATATTTTACGCGAGGGACAGTTGTTTTAAAATTAAAAAGTATTATTTTAAATTTATTTTACTTTCGCGACCGAGTTTTTATATTTTATGATTTAAAGAGAGTATATACCCACCCGATAAAAGCGTACCATATGTAAATAGATGAGATAGAATAAAAGAAAAGAAAAAATAAACTAAAAGAGAATAAATGTAGAGAATAAATATAAGGAGCATAAGCCTCCAAAAAACAATTCTATATCGGTTCTTTAAGAGAAAGTGATATAGAAAAGTGATATAGAAAAGTGATATATAAAAAAACACAAGTTTCAAAAAATAATTCTATATCGGTTCTTT